TTCACTGTCACTGCAACCTCTGCCTTCTGGGTTCATGCGATTCTCCTGCCTCAGCCTCCCGAGTAGCTGGGATTATAGGCACGCGCCACCCATGCCTGGCTATTTTTTGTATTTTTAGTAGAGATGGGCTTTCACCATGTTGTTCAGGCTGGTCTCGAATTCCTGACTTCAGGTGATCCACCTGCCTCTGCCTTTCAAAGTACTGGGATTATAGGCATGAGCCACCGCAGCCCACCAGCAAATTTTAAAATTTTTAGTAGAGGTGAGGTTTCACTATGTTGCCCAAGCTGGTTTCAAACTCCTGAACTCAAGCAATCCTCCCGCCTCAGCCTCCCAAACTGCTGGGATTATAGGCATGAGTCACTGTTTCCGGCCCAGATATTCTTTTTTCTTATTTTGAGACAGGGTCTCACTCTGTCGCCCAGACTGGAGTGCAATCCCAGACTGGAGTGGTGCAATCATGGCTCACTACAGCCTTGACCTTCCAGGCTGAAGCAATCCTCCCACCTCGGTGTCTTGGGTAGCTGGGACTATAGGTGCACTCCACCATGCTTGGCTAATTTTTTGTATTCTTTGTAGAGACAGGGTTTCACTATGTTGCCCTTGCTGGTGTTGAACACCTGTGCTCACGCATTCTGCCCACTGTGACCTCCCAAAGTGCTAGGATTACAGGCATGAGCCACCGTGCTTGGCCCCAAATATTCTTTATTCCCCTTTCTCTCTTTCCTCTCCTTCTTGAATTCCCATTGTAGATATATTGGTGTGTTTGATGGTGTCCCACAGGTCTCTTAAACTCCGTTCATTTTTCTTCCTTTTTTCCCATTTGTGTTACTCAGGTAGTAACCGTTATTCCCATTGATCTACTTCAAGTTAAATAATTCTCTCTTCTGCCTGCCAAAATCGGCTATTGAGCCCCAGTGATTAAATTGTTCATTTCAGTTGTAGTCTTCAACTCTAGAATTTCTATTTGGTTCCTTTTAATAATTTCTGCCTCTTTATTGATGTTCTCTACTTCCTGAGACTTTGTTCGTATTCTTTCTTTTAGTTATTTGGACATGGTTTCCTTTAACTCTTTCAGTATATTTACGATAGTTTATTTAAAGTGTTGTCTGATAAATCCAATGTATGGGCTTCCTCAGGGACAGTTTTATTAATTTCTTTTGTTCCTGTGTATTGCTATACTTTCTTGTTCCTTTGCATGCCTAGTGATTTTCGTTGTTGAAAACTGGACATTTTGAATATTTTAATGTAGTAACTCTGGAAAGTAGAATCCCCCTCTTCTTCAGGGTTTATTTTTGTTGCTTGTTGTAGTTGGTATTTATTTGTACAGTGACTTTTCTGTACTAATTTTGTAAAGTCTGTATTATTTGTTATTTGTGGCCCCTGGAGTCTCAGTTCTGTTACCTCAGTGGCCAGCTAGTGATTTGACAGAAATTTTCTTCTATGTCTGGAACAACAACAAAATCTCCCAGCCCTTACAGATGGACTGTGTGTGTGTTAGAGCATGAACGTGCCTTTCTCACTAAGCCAGGCAGTTTACAACTCTGCCTTCACCTTCACTTTTTTTGCATCATTTCCTTTTTTTTTTTTTTTTTTTTTTGAGACAGAGTCTTGCTCTGTTGCCCAGGCTGCAGTGCAGTAGCATGATCTTGGCTCACTGCAACCTCTGCCTCCTGGGTTCAAGCAGTTCTCTTGCCTCAGCCTCCTGAGTAGCTGGGATTATAGGTGCCCACCACTACGCCCAGCTAATTTTTATATGTTTAATAGAGATGAGATTTCGCCATGTTGGCCAGGCTGGTCTTGAACTCCTGACCTCAGGTGATCTGCCTGCCTCAGCCTCCCAAAGTGCTGGATTACAGGCGTGAGCCACCACACCGAGGCCTTTTTGCATCACTTCTAATTGTCAATCAGAGGTGAAAGCTTACTGCCTCTTCTGTGTGTGTGTGTGTGTGTGTGTGTGTGTGTGTGTTTCATTTTTTGTTTGTTTTTAGTATGAATCTAGCCCTGGACATGTATGTTTATGGCTTTCTTGTTTCTCAGGAATATGTGTGAGCTTTTACCTTTATGCATCAAAGCATCTCATTGCTCATCCTTTCCTCTAGCTTTTTCAATTTTTTTTTTTTTTTTTTTTTTTTGCCCCAGTTGTCATCCCTTTTGCTAGGTAGCAAAAACTAATACATTGACTTGGAATTTTTTTCTTTTTTTTTTCTTGAGATGGAGTTTCGCTCTTGTTGCCCAGGCTGGAGTGAAATGGCAAGATCTTGGCTCACCGCAACCTCTGCCTCCCAGGTTCAAGCAATTCTCCTGCCTCAGTCTCCCAAGTAGCTGGGATTATAGACACATGCCACCAGGCCCAGTTAATTTTGCATTTTTAGTAGAGATGTGGTTTCTCCATGTTGGTGAGGCTGGTCTCGAACTCCCAACCTCTGGTGATCCGCCCGCCTCAGCCTCCCAAAGTGCTGGGATTACAGGCGTGACCCAGCCAGAAATGTTTTTGACAAATGCCCCCCGGCAGCCTCATCCATCCTGGGAAAATTACAATCAAGAAGGTACTGTTTAAAAGGGTCAGTTTAAGAATTCCTAAAATAGTTCTGATGCAAGGTAAAAACTGGAACTAGGGTGGTAATGTGCAGATTAAAAGAGGAGGATTTTTAAAAGACTATGAAAATATAGGACATTAGCAAAAAACAGTGGAATGGGAACCTTTAAATGTCTGATACAGTACCTTCTTGATTATGTGACTTTCCTGTTGAGAAATCTGAAGCTCACAGTTTCTCCTTGCCTATCAAACGATGTCTTTAAACTGTAGTTCCGGCATAGCTTTCCAACTTTATTTCACTGTTTCTCCTAACCTCACTTCCACACTATGTTTTGATGAAGCCATACCACTAGGCTTCTCCCAAGTATGCAGTTTGCTTTCCATATCTGCTCCTGCACCTCCATGAATGTTGTTTGCTTCCCATCTGGATTGTCCTCTACCCTCATCTCTGCCTACTGAACACTATCGATATCTCTCTCTCTCTCTCTCCTTTTCTGAAACAAGATCATACTCTGTTGCCCAGGGTGGAGTGCAGTGGATCACTGCAATCTCTGCCCTATGGCTCAAGTAATCTTCCCACTTCAGCCTCCCGAGTAGCTGAGATTACAGGCATGTACCACCATGACTGGATAATTTTTGTATTTTAGTAGAGATGGGGTTTCACTAAACCCCATCAAGCTGGTCTCAAACTCCCCAAATGATCCGCCAGCCTCGGTCTCCCAAAGTGTTGGGATTACAGGTGTGAGCCACTGTGCCCAGCCAGAATACTACCCATCTCTTAATCAGCTCAAATTGCAGTCTTTCTATTAGGTCATTCCTAATTACTTCAACTAAAACTAATCTCTTCTTCCACTAAATTGCTATGACATTTTGTTACCAATAAATGTATGACATACATTTATATTATGTCATATATTGTTTGCATTATGATCTATATTCATGTTTTCATTCATTCATTTTTTCAATAACTATTTAGAGCACCCACTGTTTGCTAGGGCTAGAGTAGCAAAGAAGGCAGACATTGTACCTAATGATCATTAAGGTATACATTGGAGAGAGAGAGATATATATATCTCCATATATATATATAGAAACCCTGTCTCTACCAAAAAATACAAAAATTAGCCTGGCGTGGTGGCAGGTGACTTAATCCCAGCTACTTGGGAGACAGAGGCAGGAGAATCGTTTCAACCTGGGAGGTAAAGGTTGCAGTGAGCTGAGATTGAGCCATTGCACTCAAACCTGGGGGACAAGAGCGAGACTTCTCTCAAAAAAAAAAAAAAAAAATTAGCCAGGCGTGGTGGTGCTTGCCTATGGTCCCAGCTACTCGGGAGGCTGAGTGGGAGGATCACCTGAGCCCAGGAGGCGGAGGGTGGTGAGTGGAGATTATGCCACTGCACTGCAGCCTGGGCAATGGAGTGAGACCCTGTCTCAAAAAAAAAAAAAAAAAAAAAAAGAAGAAAGACAGAAAGAAGAAAGAGAGCTGGGTGCAGTGGCTCACACCTGTAATCCCAACAATCCCAGCACTTTGGGAGGCCGAGGCGGGTGGATCATGAGGTCAGGAGACCGAGACCATTCCGGGTAACACAGTGAAACCCCATCTCTACTAAAAATACAAAAAAAAAAAAAAAAAAAAATTAGCTGGGGTGTGGGGCGGGCACCTGTAGTCCCAGCTACTTGGGAGGCTGAGGCAGGAGAATGGTGTGAACCTGGGAGGTGGAGCTTGCAGTGAGCTGAGATAGTGTCACTGCACTCCAGCCTGGGCAATGAACGAGACTCTGTCTCAAAAAAAAAAGAGGAAAGAGAGAAAAGAAAGAAAGGAAGGGAAGGGAAGAAGGGAAAGGAAGAAGGGAAGGGAAGGCGAAAAGAAAAGGAAAAGAAAGAAAAGAAAGAAGTGAGGGAGGGAGGGAGAAAGAGAGAAAGAAGAAATAGAAAGAAAGAAAGGAAAGAAAAAAGGAAAGAAAGAAAGATAAAGTAAGAAAGGAAAAAAAAGAACCCAGCAGGATTTGATGAGTGACAATAAGGTGAGTCCAAGTTTTCCAGGTTAACAGTAAGGAGAGAGCACGACAGGCTGAGGGGACATGTCAGAGGGGGCTGGGGCAGTCTGCTGCCTTACCTTCTTTACCAGCGTCAGAGAACCATTTCTATTAGCACAGTGCTTTACGCTTACCGCACAAGAAATATAAAAATTAATGAACACACATTGAGACTAGGAGTAGATTTGACAAGAAAAAGAATCCAGTGATGAAGAGGGAGAAGAATAAGAGTAAATTGTCAGAGAATAAGATCATTTGAATTCCTTTTTATTTCAATAAAATAGTAGTAGTAGTAATAATAGCAGTAGCAGCAGCTAATGTTTATTGAGTGCTTACTCTGGGGAAAAAAACTGCGTTAAGAACTTTATGTGTGTCATTTTATATACATTCTTTATTGTATGCTGTCTGTTCCTCGTTTTCTACAGTCTCTTGAAGCAGTCTCCGAATGTGGAGCTCTCCTTCCCACGGCAATCAGAAGGCTCCAATGTCTTTAGTGGTACAAAGACAGGAACATTGTTTCTCACTTCATACCGGGTAATTTCTACTTCTGCTTTAATTTGCTGATTAACTCTACATTTGTTTTCCTTAAAATGAAGAAAAGTTAAACATTGACTTTTGAAGTGTTTTTAAACATGTGCACTTTGGGATTTTCCACATTGAAGGGTGATGGAAGAAAATATGATGTTTCTCAGTCAGACCAGAATGCACCTTGCTCTTGTAAGTCTCAATCCATGGACGAATTTGGCATTCCTTTTCCAAAGTTTCTGTCCTTGCATAGGTGATTTTCATAACTTCGCGCTCCATCAATGATCCCATGCTGTCTTTTATGATGCCATTTGATCTGATAACGAACCTCACCGTTGAACAACCAGTATTTGCTGCAAACTTCATTAAGGGAACTATTCAGGCAGCTCCATATGGTAAGTGTTCCCTCAGAAGTGTGTATTTTTTTTCCTTCAAAATCTTCTAGAAAGTTTAAGATTCAAACTTGGCTCATGTTGAAATTCAAACAAAAGCTGCTCTGCTTTGTCAGGTAGTGTTTCCCTTGGTGTTTGTGGCAGTCTTTCTGTTGTCAGGTATGTCAGTTTCTTAGTGAGTGTGTGCCATTTCTTCCCCCAGGTGGCTGGGAAGGACAAGCTACTTTTAAATTAGTCTTCAGAAATGGAGGTGCCATTGAATTTGCCCAGTTGATGGTGAAAGCTGCCTCTTCTGGTAAGTGATGCTGATGAAGATATTAAGCACTTTGGGTTTTTTGTTTGTTTGGGTTTTTTGTTTTTGTTGTTGCTGTTTTGTTGTTTTTGAGACAGGGATTTTTGTATTTTTTGTAAGTTGGAGTTTCACCATGTTACCCAGGCTGGTCTCAAACTCCTGAACTCAAATGATCCTTCTGCCTCAGCCTCCCAAAGTGCTGGGGTTACAGGTATGAGCCACCACGCCCAGCCCGCTTTGGGGGTTTTAAGGATTGTGGAATTAAAGCAGGACTTCTACTAAGCCAAGATTTGCTGTCCTCTGTGGCCAGGCAGTTGGTATTTCCATACTTATTCAGCAGGCATTTCCTGGGCCTACCTACAATTGTCAAATACCATGTTACAGGGTAGGAACACAAAGATTATTGAGTCCCTTCCTGTCCTGAAGGACCTTGCAATCTAGTGGGAGCTTACAGCCAGACACCCAAGTGACTAATTATACCTGATAGTCTTTTGTCCATTTAAACACTGACCTCAGATATCCACTGAGCGTCTCTTCCTTGGGTCAGGGAGCCCTTAGTTATTCTTCCTTTGGTGTGGCTTTTAATTTTTTCTTCTCTTGGACTTGCCTTTGCTTTTCTCAGGTTTAGTCCCCATCTTACATGAGAGCGGAGTAGAGGTACTGTCAAGACTTACAGCACTGATCTAATGGATGTACCACAGAACTCTTTCAAACTTTGACTAAATATAATTTTTTAAAATCATATATATATATATATATTTTTTTTTTTTTTTTTTGAAGACAGAATCTTGCTTTGTCACCCAGGCTGGAATGCAATGGCGCGATCTCAGCTCACTGCAACCTCTGCCTCCTGGGTTCAAGCGATTCTCCTGCCTCAGCCTCCTGAGTAGCTGGGATTACAGGTGTCCGACACCACACCCAGCTAATTTTTATATTTTTAGTAGAGGTGGGGTTTCACCATGTTGGCCAGGCTGGTCTTGAACTCCTGACCTCAGGTGATCCACCTGCCTTGGCCTCCCAAAGTGTTGGGATTAAAAGTGTGAGCCACCGTGCCCTGCTATTATATATTTTTATTTAATGTAGTCTCACTTCATGCCCCTCACTCTCTTACCTTTTATATTCCAATCAAACTGGACTTCTTTGTGCTTTATTTTCTCTCATCTCTGAACTTTCATACTATTTTTTGTGTCTGGAATGCTCTTCCCTTTTCTCCCTGCCACCCACCCCCAACTTCAATCTAGTTGAGACAAACATGCTCTAGTAGAGACAGACATATGCAGATACACTATTGTATCTCATAGAATATGCTGTAATAAAGGCATGGACAAAGTGTTGGGGACACACAGAAGGATGGAGTAAACTTTCTAGTTTAGAAGACTTAGTGGATTGGGATGCTATAAACTGTGTTCAAGAATATAAGAGACAGGCTGGGTATGGTGGCTCATGCTTGTAATCCCAGCACTTTGGGAGGCCGAGGCTGGCGGATTACCTGAGTTCAGGAGTTTGAGCCCAGCCCAGGCAACATGGCGAAACCCCGTCTCTACTGAAAATACAAAAGTTAACCCGGCGTAGTCATGCACACCTGTAGTCCCAGCTACTTGGAAGGCTGAGGCAGGAGGAGTACTTGAACCGAGGGGGGCGGAGGTTGCAGTGAGCTGAGTTCATGCCACTGCACTCCACCCTGGGCAACAGAGTAAGACTCTGTCTCAAAAAAAAAAAGAATATAAGAGACAGTCTAAGTTGAAGAAGAAATGAGTTCAATTTTAGACATAACACTGAAACACTGACTAACATATATTGAAATGTTTACTGTATACTGGGCAGTGTTCAAAGCCCTTTACATTTGTCAATTTTTTTAATCCTTGCAAAAACCTTATGATGTAGGTACTATTATTATCCCCAGTTTATAGCTGGGGAAACTGAGTCAGTGGTGGTATATAATTTCCCAAGGCTATATAGTTAGCAAGTGATGTAGCTGGGATTTGAACTCTAAACCTACTTTCTCTTCTTTTTAAGTCTTTTATTGTTAAAAAAAATCAGATCTGTGGAAAAGTTGCAAGAATATTACGATCAACTTCCCTCATCTAGATTCGCCCGTTATCAGCATTTTCCCTTTATTATTCTTTATTGCTCTTTATTATTCTTTTTTTGCTTTTGTTCTTGCTGAACTATTTGGGAGTAAGTCACAAAGATTATTTCCTTCATTCCTAAATATTTAAGTGTGTATCTCCTAAGAATGGTTTTTGAGACAGGGATTTTTGTATTTTTTGTAAGTTGGGGTTTCACCATGTTGCCCAGGCTGGTCTCAAACTCCTGAACTCAAATGATCCTTCTGCCTCAGCCTCCCAAAGTGCTGGGGTTACAGGTATGAGCCACCACGCCCAGCCC